ACACACATATTCATTTCTTGATTTAACAACTGCATGAGTTGGAGGGAAATGCCAGAATCCCAGAGGGTAGGTGTTGCCTCTCTTTTAGTCATTACTATTTTTACAAGGGCTGGGCCCTGAGGTATCACATAATACATTCCTTTTAGAGGTCATATTTCATTTCTAACCTGTTAAAGCACTCCGTTTCAAACTCAAATGTTCTAAAATATAAGAGCTCAAATCCATGATCCCAATATTAAAAAGTTTTCCAAACAGCTTTCCACATTAAATATAATTTTGACTGCAGTAGAAGAGTTCTGCAGCACGATCACAGGCATTAGTGCAAAGCGGCTCAGGTTAGGAAACAGGGATGTAGATCTTTTGCAGATGGGAAAGGAACTAAGAGATGGAGGGAAAGGGAAGAAGAGAGAGGGGATATAAAAAGAATTAAATATTTTATGTACAAATACCAACTCCCCATGATGAATGCAATCATTATGTACTACAAACATGTACTAATCAAAAATTTAAAAAAAATTTTTAAAGATGTAAAAAGGTTTGGTGGTGTGAAAGGACTCACACTAGCTCTAAGCCCAGGGCCTTTCTGTATCACACACAGCAGGGAGCAGACGCATTAGGACACAGAGCACAGACTTACATTATATAGTTGAGACAGCTACTGCTTCCTGTGGCATTGAGTCCTGCACAGTAGATTTGTTCCAAAAATTCATTGTGCTGCAAAGCCTGTGATACAAGAGGGAGTAAGGCAAGGTAAGTACACTATTTTTAAATTTTGAAAAAATTTACCAAGAATTATCAAAATAATACTGTTAGTTGAATCCTTATTTTTATTTTTACATTATATAGTTGAGACAGCTACTGCTTCCTGTGGCATTGAGTCCTGCACAGTAGATTTGTTCCAAAAATTCATTGTGCTGCAAAGCCTGTGATACAAGAGGGAGTAAGGCAAGGTAAGTACAGTATTTTTAAATTTTGAAAAAATTTACCAAGAATTATCAAAATAATACTGTTAGTTGAATCCTTATTTTTATTTTTTTAAATGTGCCAATCTGCACATTCACAGTCCTTGTCAAGGCAAAGGAACTGAAGTTAATTTTCCTAGCAGGGAAGAAGATTAGGTCTGATACCTTTCTTCAAATTGGTCAAGAGAGGAATCCTCTGTCCACAAATTACCCAGTACTCTTTCTTCTTCCTCCAGTATTACAGTCCCATATACTCTATGTTTACAATGATTCAGCGGGGCTCAGTGAATATTGTGGATTTTTGTCAACAGTCTATTTTTTGTTGTTGTTGTTGTTTACATCAAAACTGGTTGCAATTACGGGAGTTAAAATCTCATTTATAGTATATGAAGAAAAACGAGGTTTCTTTGGAGTTAGTTGAGTAGCTTGCTAAAGTCAATATGGCTATGACTATGATATGCTTTATGGCTTCTGCTTTTCTTCTATTTTCCCTTTTGATACAAACTATGTACTTTAGCCTCCCCTCTCATAGCCTTATTTAACTGAAACACAGTATCTTTTCCATCAATTCAGCAATGTCTCTTTACCATAAGAGTTCTCCCCACCCCCATTTCCCTTAAACAGCTACAGATTGAAGGACACCCAGATAATAACTTTATGCTAACCAAGCCGAGCAGGCAATTGTCCCCCATTGCTCATGAAATAAAACTGATGGAAGCACTGATCCATCCCAGCTCATGGCCACAGGAAAGAGGTGGTTAGGGTTTGTGTTGGTGCTTCCCAGCTTGGTCACCCAGTCAGAACCACAGAGAAGGACAACTCACCATAAAGCCGTAATGAGGAATACTGAGGTACTGAAGCCACAGGAGCTGAGGTGCCATGGCTTCAAAATACAGTGACATCGCCAAAAATATCTTCAAGGAAAAAAACAAAATCTATATATCAGAATCGGTCCAATGATTTGGAGAAATTCTCAAGAAGCCCTTCTTCAAGAATTTCACAACCTTCTAAATATTTCTGCTAGAACCAACTCTTCTAATTCCTTTCAGTTCCTCTAAATACTTACCTTCCTTCTTTGCATGTGATACTTATGCATAGCTAAGCCTGCTTACAGTTTTAAAGGATGGACAGTATATTTTAAATGTATACTATATTTCCATTTATTTTGGAGACTAAGCATTGAGACTATGCCCTCAGCATTCTGTCACTGCACACAACAGAAACACAAGTAACAGTCGTCCCTCAGTACCTGAGGGAGATTGGTTCCAGGACCCACCCTCCCAGACACAGGAAATCTGGAAATGCCTAAGCCTCTTATTTCTAGTCTAGTGTAGTATTTACATGTAACTCATGCATATCCCTTATGCTTTCATACACATATCCTGTATATTTTAAATCATCTATTTCTTATGATACTTTAAATAATATAAAGGTCATAGAAATAAATAGCTTATAATGCATAGTTTAGGGAACAAAGACAAGAAAAGTTGAACATATTCAGTACAGGTATCAGTTTTGTTTTGTATAGTTTTGATCTATGGTTGTTTTGATCTTTTAATGCGGAACCCATGGACACAAAGGGTTAATTGTACTGACTATTCTAACAACACCACTGCAATCTGTTGCCACCAACAAATCTGGAATCTAAAAACACAAAAGAATTATCTTTTTTTTTCTTTTTTTACAGGAACATCAAAATGAGTTATCAGAGTCCCATGTACAGAATCCCCAAAGCAGATTTTACAGGACAGGTTAATGTGCTGGAAGAAATAAGGGAAAAAAGTCCCTCAGAGAAGCACATTTCATACTCACCATCATAAACAGAAAATAGATGTTCATGAGGAGGGTTGTTATGGACACCCCATTCTGACCCACAGCTATGGCCAGTGCCAGGGAACTGGCTGAGTAACGCACCATCATAAGGGTAAACGTCATGATAAGGAAACCCTCTGCCACTGGCAGTGATCCTTAGAAAGAAAAGAAGGGGTTAGTTCAGCTGCCTAGCTTACTGTGAATTGGGGGGTGTTTATTGTTCATCTAACAATACTACTAGCATTGTAAGAAACCAAAATCAGAATTTATAAATTTTTTAATCGAGTTTATTGGTACATTTTAGGGATACAGTACAGTTACATTCATTGTTGGGATCTTGTACCTCTATATGACAGGTCTTGGTTCTCATTTTTTTCCCCTTGTCCCTGCCCTCCCTTCACCCCTTCCTCCCCTCCCCTTTTACAAACACTTTATTTCCATCTTTTCATTTTCTCACATTTTTTTCTTTTCCCTTATTACCCTTCCCCTATCCACCCCACCTTCCCTACACCTTTAGCCCCTTTCTTCCCATTTCACAACGTCAGTCATCTCATTAGGATCTTAGGTACTATTACAGTTTATTCACACCAGAGAAACTATTCGGTATTTACATATGTGTGACTTATTTATTTCACTTAGCATATCCTCAATATGTGTCCATTTTCCTATGAATGAATCTATTTTATCATTCTTTATGTCTGAGTAATATAAAAAAACTAGCCATCCCTCTGCTGGGTATCTTTCCAAAAGAACTAAACGAATCATATCACCGTGATGTATTTGCACCCATCTTTATAGCGGCACAGTTTGGAATAGCTAAAACTTGGAAACAGCCCATTTGCCCATCAGTTGGAAACTGGATAAAATCAGAATTAAAAAAAATTACTATCTAACTACCGTGGCTCATCAGTTTCATTGTCCCCTCCATGTATTTGCATAAAGTTATCATGAAGTTTTCTCTTTCACATTTACTTTGACTGCAAAAGCACCTTTCCACACAGCTCCTAGGCTCTTGTGTGCAAAGAGAAATAGTCTCCACCTCATATCCAAGACTAGGTATGCACTTCTTTGTTACTTACCTAGCATGAAGTATGGAATACAAGTAAATAAAATACTTGGCAACAACCTCCTGGGTAGTAATTCAGACAGTAGTTTTCCAAGGTAATAGGATGATAGTCTGTAGTACCCACTGTTATACTCATGTCTATGGAAGAAAACACACATCATATATCTCAGGTCACTTTAATAAAGCAGAGATCGGGAGATGAGATGCTTGCTCTACAGATTTCTGTTGCCATCAGTGACCTAACAAAACAGGTTCCCTTATCACCCAGGCATATTCCCCCATGCCCTTTACCCTCACAAGTGCCAAGCCTCCTTGCTGCGACCTCTCACTACAGATCCCCTCCTGCTTCCAGCCCAGATGCCCTTCCCAGCACACAGGCTGTGTCCTCACAGACTCTGCTTCTCTTCTGCTGCTGGCCCTCACTGGAGAACAGAGCTTCAGGTGCTAATCCCAGTGGTCATGGGGCTTTGCTTCTTCCCACTTTCGATTGTAAAGAAAGTGACATGGTTGTTTTCCCAGGCCCTCAGTGTAGCTTCAAATTACTGCACTCTTTTTACTTCTGCCATTCTTGTGGTAAGAAAGAGAAGAGTTCCTTTTTTAGAGGCTCAGACACTAATCCCTAATTTTCATCTTCTTGATTTTATGTTTAATTCCAAAGTCGTCCTCCAGTATCTTAATTTCTTCTCTGACAGTTTCTTTCCTTGGCATAAGGATATGGCTAAACCTTTTCCATCTTTGGAAAACACAAGCAACAACTAGCCTGCTCCTTACCAAAAAGCTGTCCTCTGCCTCTTTCCACTTCTCCATTCTCTGAGGCCTAAAATTGGTCATGTACTTTCTCAACTTTGCTTCTCCTCTAATTTGCTGCTAAACCCAATATATAGTCATTGGGAAGCCTTTCAAAATTTTCTTGGAGGATCGTCATGACTTTTTATTTGTCTAAAACATGAAATAATTTTCAGCACCTTTATTTATTCATTTCTTGTAGCAATGGGATTGGCTGACCATACCTAACTCTGAAATTGCTTTCCCTTATTAGCAGACCACATATGCTCTTGATTTTTCACCATACCTCTGCCAGCATTTTCCCAATTAATATTGATAATTCAGATATGTATTTCTGAAGCTCATGTTACAGAAATACATACAATTTACATTTTTCAATTAGACAAATACATGAAAAAGAAAAGACACTAGAGAATAGTAAGATGGTGTCCTTGGTCCAACTCTGGGTGCAATCCCAGAGTCACCAACGTTTCTTCTCAGAGCTGTGAACTACTCACAGAAAGAGCTGCTTCTCCACCACAAAGATCTCCCCGGCTGACTTGTTGCTGAAACATTCATAGACGGTGAGCATGAAGAGTACCAAGGCTCTGCCAGGTCAGAATGGAGACAAAACCACCGCAGTTAACACTCTCTCTTTCCATAAGTGATGTAACTCAACAGATTTGTTTTTAAAAATGGAAAAAGAAAGCAAGCAAAACTGCTCTGGTTAAAATGGAAGGAATCATGACTGCATGAGGCCTCTCCTATTTCTGTGCCTAAACAGGTACCTTTGACTCCATATTTCAGCATAGTTCAAAATTCATGGTCTTAAGTGGCTGTGACAGGATTGTGTTCCCCTAAAATTTATATATTGAAGCTAGATCTCCCAGCCTAACGGTACATGGAGATGGGTCCTTGGGGAAGTAATTATATTTAGATGAGGTCAGGACAATGGGGCCTGTAAATTGGTATTAGTGCCCTTAGAAGAGAAGTCCCAAAGCACTGTCTGCCATAAGAGAGGGCAAGGTGAAAAGAGATGTTTGCAAGCCAGGGCTGGAGCTTCACCAGAGCTGGCCTTGCTAGACTAGAACTCTAACTACAGATTCCAGACTTTAGAATTGAGAAAACATAAACCTCTGTGGCTTACACCACTGAGTGTATGGCAACTTTTTGTTGAGGAAATTGTGCTAGTGGTTGCTTTGCAGTAATTCATAGATGCTAGGCAAGCTCTGTACCACTGACCTACACCCCTAGATGAAGACATTATGGTTCGTAAATACAATACTTAACAATAAAACAATATGATTAAGGTGATATCCATCACTTCAAATATTTACCACTTTCTATTGTGAGAAAATTTCAAATTTACCCTCAGCAACTTCCAAGTGCACACTATTATTTATTGTATTCACCAAGCTGTGCAATATACCTCAAATATATATTTTTGACTTATGTGATACATAATAATTAAATTCCTTTTGTGTTATTGGTACATATACATATCACATCTTAATTGTTTTTGCTTCTACTTTTCTTCTACTCTACCCCATACCCAGGTCTCCTTATTCCCACAATGTCTACTTCTCTTCCTTCTTTCACCTCTTTTTAATTTTGCTCTTTAAGTTATATATATTTTGGGTTTCTCATTAATTTTACAAATTCCTCAAACTTACCTTCTTGAGACTTAGCACATATAGATATATGTTAAAGAAAAGAAAACCCATTCTTTCTTTATCCATTTTTCTGTTGATGAACAGAAGCTGTTTCCAAAGTTCACTCTTATGAACTGTGCTGCTGTATCAGACATCTCTGCCCAGTACCAGCAGGCTAGAAGTGGCACAGCTTCTTGCCCCTTCATATTTGGCTCTACTGCATTTGAAGTAGCCAGGCCTTGCTAAGCTCATTTCCAGTCAAGGTCAACTGACTCCAACTGAATTTTTCCCCTCTGACTTAACCATTTGTTCTCCTCTGTGAAAGTTATGCAGGTGCCCCTGTCTGCCACGCTGTTATCGGCAGCTGTCCCAAGGCCTGCCCGGCTTCCCTTCTCCCTATGTTTGAAATGAGTAAACACTGGGTGTCCCTGGTATCTTCTGTCTTTGCCGCTCAGAGTGGCTTAGATCAGCCCAAGACCCAGCCCCTCTCAAGTCACTGAATCTGTGTTTTTATTTCCTCTCTCTTTCCTATCTCACAGAGGTTGCACTGGCTCACAGGGACCAAGACCTATGAGCAGGGTTTTTGGTAATATCTCTTACATGCTGCTATACACATGGGAATGTATGTATCAGTATAACATGATGTCTAATCTTTCAGGCAGATACACAGCAGAGGTAAAGTTGGGTCAAGTAGAACTTCTATTTTTAGTTTGAAGAATTTGAATTATGATTTTCCTAGTGGTTGCATTAGTTTATGTTCCCATGAAAGTGCCCCCCGCCTCACCAGCATTTGTTGTTTTTTTAATTCCTGATGATTGCTATTCTTTCTGAATAAGATGAAAGCACAGTTTTGTTTGTTTATTTGTTTGTTTGTTTGTTTGTTTTAGAGACAGGGTCTCACTATGTAGTTGAGGCTGACCTGGAATTTAATATGTAGCCCAGGCTGGTCTTGAACTCATAGTGATCCTCCTGCCTCAGCCTCCCTAGTGCTGGAATTACAGGTGTGCACCATCACGCAGGACTAGCACAGTGTTGTTTTGATTTGCATTTTTGGCCAAAGATGCAGAATATTGTTTCAAGAACTTATTAACTATTTGTACTTCTTTGGAAGAAGTGTCTATTCATTTCAGTTGCCCATTTTTTATTGGGTCTCTTTTGGGGAGGTCTTTTTTTTTCTTTTATTCCCTGTATATGTCAGATTCTAGTCCTTTGGTGGAATCGATAGAAAACTTCCTTTCCAGTTTTGTACATTGTTTCTTTACTCTTCGGTTGTTTCCTTTGTGGTATAGAAGCTTTTTAATTTAATATGATTCTATCTGCTGATTCTTGGTAATATGTGTTGTGGAACTGGGGTTCCAGTCAGGAAGACATTGCCTATGACTATGTCTTCAAGACTTTTACCTATTTTATCTTACAGTAGATTTATTGCTTTTGTTTTTATATCTAGGTTTTACTCTCCTGGGTAGATGTATACCATCCTTTGGACTCTTTAGCACTAATTGAATCTCTATGTCTGTCTAAGATTCTCTTAAATATTTTCTGCAATGTTGGTTTAGTGGTCATGAATTTCTTCAGGGTTTCTTTGTCATGGAAAGGTTTAATTTCTACAGATATATTGAAGAATAGTTTTACAAAAATGTAGAAGTCTGGTTGACATTTTATTTTCCTTTAGGGTTTCAGACAGTTCACTTCTAGCTCTCCTGGCCTTTAAGGCTTGTGCTAAGAAACCTGCTGTTATTTTGATTGGCTTGCCTTTATAGGTTACATGCTTATTACAATAGCTTTTAGTTGTTTTCTCTTTGTGCTGAATTTCTCTAATTTTGACAATGATGTGTCATGGAGAGGTTCTTATTGTGTCATGGCTGTGTGGAATTCTATATGCCTCGTTTACTTGAAAAGTGAATTCTTTCTCTACATTTGGAAATTTTTCTGCTACAATTTCAGTGAATACTTTTTTGAGAAAGATCTCATTATATAGTCCATGTTGGCCTTGAACTCACTATGAAGCTCAGGCTGGCCTCAAACTCACAGTGATCCTCTTGAGGACACCACGCCACACACATAATAGCGTATGAGTGTGACTGTATGTGTGTGAGGTACCTAAAGGAGTCAGATTTATTGACACAAAATAGAATAGTGCCAGCCAGGGTTTTGGAAAAGTGGGAAGATGTTCTTCAATGTGTATGGAGATTCTATTTGAGAAGATAAAAACTCATTCTAGTTTTCTAGTGGAGATAGTTGTACAACATAATATTTTTGATTCTACTGAAACTTTATGTTGTGCATAGTCTATCATTACATTTATAAATATATGTGTAAAAATAATGTTTCTATGCAGTTTTTAATACACTAACTCACCTTACCCCACAAACAGTGATGTTTACCCTATACTTGTCATAAATTTAAATTCTTAATGGATAGTCACAAAAGTAATTTAAACTTCCCAAAAATCAAAGTTGCCATTTACTTACCTATTCTGGATTTCATTACAATCATTTTTTAGCACAAGGAAGATGGCACCTATAGCCAGTCCCATCACGATTATCACAATTATCTTTTCAAAAAAGAAAAAAAGGAGTTTCAATTAGAGATAAAAAATTATACAACAAGGACTTATGTAATATACAAGGCTATATAATCTAATCTATCCATTGAGATACACATACTTTAAAAGCCTTGGCCAGAGTCACTAGGAGAATATAAAATAGTGAATATTATTAGACTTATTTTTAAATGAAATCAAAAATTAATCTGTTTGGGCAACTGACAAGTAAGCAGAGCAAACACTGGAAAAGCTAAGCTTCCTTTCCTTATCCCACCAAGCACTGCTGTTTCCGAGCCCAATCCAGGTGCTGAAACATGAACACCATTCAGGGTAGCAGAACAATATGGGCACTCAGCAACATGTTATTTTGGAAACAAACTAAAGTCTAGATGGCTAGGAGTTTTAACTTGAACTGACACTCAACTCCTGTGCAGGTGAACATGCAGTTTTATACTAAGTGAAAGCAAGGTAGTTCTACACTTATCATTAGAAATAAATACAGTTTCAGAGCTGGAGATGTAGTTCAGGAATGGAGTGCTTGCTTAGTGTGGGCCAGACCCTGGAGTTTATGCCCAACACTGAAAAATGAATGAATAAAAATTTCAAAGCACACACACCATTTATCACAATGGGACTTTTCACATTAAGGAAGTAGGGGTGAGCTGAGCCCCACCTATACCCACTCTGGGGAGTCCCTGCCTGCATGGGAAAGTGTATTGTCACTATCATCAAAGCATCCATCCAGTTTTCTGTGGGACACCTAAGTGTTTCCACCACCCCTCTCCTCGGTCATGGCTTCTCCATCAGCCTCAGCCAGTGAACCTCATTCACACGGCCACCTGAGTAGCCGGTGCTTTGTATCCTCATCTGTCTTCAGCTCCTCAGTCTGTGTGGATGGCTCCCAGGGGGACGCGACGAGCAACTCTTTTATTTTTAGGATAAAAATAGCTTTTGAATATGCATTAATTAGCAAAGTCTCAAGGGTTATGTATTTGAGGAATTAGATGTATAATTATCTATGGGCAATTTAAAAATATTAAAAAATGAGAATCTTTAAAAAATACTAGAATGTATGTTGGAAAGTTTCAAACTTTAAAAAAAA